AGAATAACTCTCTTGTCGTCAAAGTTATTGTAGGTTAATTTCTTTGTTTTTAAAGTTACGAGCTGGTGATTGAATGACCTTATTGATACGTTCTCCTTGTATAACTCGAACCCAATTTCCCCAAACAGGCACTTCCTGTGATCCTCAAGAGTCATGTGGTTTTTAACCACATGACCTCTTATACCCTTCGCMTTGATGTTTTCACGTCCAACTCTGTCCTCCGGTCCAGTATACACATTAAAGGCGTATGACTTTGCCCTAAGCGCACAAAACTCGGTAATAGCATTTCCATCGACTTCATCGGAAAAGTATCCCGGTGACTTTTTCCTTTCCGCCACATAGCACGGATGGTCCTGAGGAAGGTTGGCGGTTCCATCTGGTCCAACAAGCTACTTTTACCCGCCAAGTCTTTGTAGAAATCATCGGTATTGATATGATACACTAGTGAATCTAGAAAAAATGATATATTAATATATTATATACATGAGTATAGTTTTAATAATATATTTACCTGTATCAGTATACATTAGCTTAATTTTATCTTTATAATGTTTCTTCATAAYGTTGTAATGATAGTCATACATTTTGGTTTTGGATATGTCCAGAACAGCGAACCCTGTAAATAATAAGTGTGTTAATAAATGTATGATAAAAGTGTAATTTAAAAATGTATTTACCAATATATATAGGTTTATGGAATTTGATAATCTTATTTTCTAGAGCAACAGCGTTCAGATTCTCGTTGTAATTAGTACAATGCTGGAATGTATTTTTATTTATCAACTTCTACAGTCGTCTCTCACACAATACTAACTCCATTTTCATTTCCTTGCGTTTTGACTGCATTGTTTTAACTGAAAAATAAAAATGTTTAAATAGTATAAAAAAATAAAGTAAAATACCAAATACAGCGTTGTTCATGAGTTTGAAGAAGTCTTTCTCAAAGTCGTTTTTCGCTCTTTTCCTCATCTCTGTATTCAAATTAATATATTTCGCTAACCAGTCTGACTGGCTAAACTGTATAACCCTATATGTACCTATATAAGAAAAAGTGTTAAAAGTCTGTTAAAAAATATTATAAAATATAAATATTTACTTTTTCAACTATCAA